TAGAATTTGTCTGGTCCTTGTACTCGTAATTTAGCCTTCTGGTCGTGGTCAAGCACATTTGCTCTGGTTCCTTCGGAATACGTGTATCGAGCATCACTTACCACCTTCTTCCACCCTATGGGAAGTCTCGGAACGCTACATATACAATGCCTACTAAAGCTACCGCAAGTAATCCGAGATTCGAGGGCATGAGGGTAGGCACAAAGGTCCTATAGCACAGAATGGCAGTTTTTAAACTCAATAAAAGAAGTTAATGTTTAGTAAGCACAAAAAATCAGCATTAATTGGTTAAAATTTGATCATATTTGCATTGTTCAAACAACTTCGTCATTAAAAATCCATTGTGAATAAACAAATTTTCGTTCAGAAGTCTAAGATATTTTTTAGGTTAATTTTAACTGTGATGCCCAATATTCGTGCTTCTGACTTCCTATGAGATTTGTTTGGATAGATCTCAAAAACTCGGTGCCCTTACGCTTTCCCAGTGTGACACTATGTCGGGCGCTGATAGGCGTCAGGCTGTTTTGCTGAGGCTTAGTGGTGAATTAAATGAAGGACAGGAGTTGATTAAACAAAATCTTCCTGCCATACGAAAATCTGTCCGGAAACTCATTCGTAAATTCGATATTTTCAACCCGGTGGACGTTGTCCGACCTCTTTGCGTTTCTTATGCTGATGAGGGCTCCTGCCTTCAGTTACGACTTACTCAGAATTCAGATTTTATGTTCACTTCTGAGGACCTTTCTTCCAAGAGTCCTTGGGCTGACATTCCATTTGTAACGATTATTCTCGAGCGTCAGCCGTCCGCAGTGTAAGTCATTTCCATGCAGTTTTCTTCCCGGTCTTTTTTAATGCGTGGTATTGCCCATTATTTAATGCTTCAGTCCAGAGCAGTCTCAAAATGAATCGGACAAGCATGCAGATCCTCAAAATGTCAACAGTGATGCGGCAGCTAAATTGGTTGAGTTATCAACTAGGCTGGAGAAGGTGGAAAGTCTTCTCGATTCTGCTATGTGTTGTAAGCACTATTGCCTATTGCAACTTGCAATAATTGTGTTTGTTAGGGTTAATTTGGTTGAAATTTTACATTTGCATTTCCTCACGGGATCGATTTTATCATTTAAGCTGCTACAAAGGGCTCGAATGATCCTTCGTTGCCTCTTGCCAAGGAATCAACGCCAAATTCAGGTAATGTGAAGCAGGTGTGCACAAAATCTCCTCCTAACGTGACTCCTCAGGCCGTTTTGGACCCCGTTGACACTACAACTGCTTCTCGCTATCGTATGTCTTCACAACAACTTTGACTCTAAACTGACATTCGAGAGTATTTGTTTTCTTTCTATTGGATGAACGTGTATTTTTTAGCTCCATCTAAGTTAATCACAAAGAAAGTCGGTTCCTCCGCCCCTAAGTCGAAGGCTGCTCCACTCAAAACATCTGTTGGTAAGGGTGTCGCTGCTGTCACTGTTTCATCGCGTTCTCCGCCAGGTTTGTTTTCGATTACGTCACTAACGTTGGTGTTAACTTCACCTTTATTAGATGTGGTTTCTTTTTCTCTTTTGAAGGCAATAACATTCTCCAGGTAGTGAAATCCACTCCAATGTCCAAAGGCCAGCCACCAACCCAAACGATCACTCTGAAAGCCAATTTACCCCAAAACAAACTCAAGCGACCGCTTGCCACAATTGGCAACATCAACACCTCGTCAGAAGCGCCTCCGTCCAAACAACATATTCAGCACACTGGTCTTGGCGATGGTTCAGAGTACGTGTGGCGAACGCCCGCTTCCTATCTGGCCAATTTTGACGAAACTATTGAGTCAGTAGTGGCTGGCCTAGACGATCCTAACGACTTTACAATCGAGCCTCCCTCAACGCAGACAGCTTTTGATTCCACTATCTGTACTACTACCGTAGACTTTGATGAATTCGTTCACTCTCTGCCAGCCGAAAGTTTTATGAACAGCGTCAAGAAGAAGAAAAAGAAGAAGCAACCGATTTTACAAGAACAGCTTGTTGTATAAACTTTCTATTGGATAGAAACGCGTAAAGTTCGTGCTTTTCAAAATATGGACTGTAATTTTAACCA